TTTAAACTTGACATTTATGTTCTTCGCTGAACTCAGGCGCTTCTCACTGGATCTCATGAGCGAGACGATGAGAGTGCGCGTTTGTGTGGGCTCGCGCTGTGCTCCGATGCCGTTTGGACTTTGAGCCGAATGGATAAATGCGCGGTTCAAATGAGTTTCGTTCCGCTTTTGGTGCATGAACACATTTATCGACCTATTGATATCGTTCTATCAAGAAAAATTATATCGCGATAATTATCGTTATCGTTCTATCGCCCAGCCCTAAGCTAAATGTACTAAACGTGAAACACAGTGTTATCTCGGTAAAGCGGTTTTAAAACAATCTGTTTTGTAAAAAGAGCTATATAAATAAATATGATTTGACTTGGCTGAGGTAAAATTTTATTTTAAATAGATATTTTATCACATTTCAATTAACATTAAATGTAATCATATTACAATACATGAATATTTTAAATTTATATTGTTATCAAGTCCGTGCGGGTGTCACACAGTAAAGGTGGCTGTATTATCAACAAGATCATCTTCAAGATCAGCTTTGAGAATGAAACCAACCTGTTTGTTCCTCCGTATCTTCATGTTTCACTCTGAATGTTTCTTCAATCTTCATGTTTTCACTCTCCTCTTTAATAAACGCCATCTTTGTTTGTTCCTCAGTATCTTCTTGTTTCACTATGAATGTTTCTTCAATCCTGATGTCTCCACTCTCCTCTTTAAGAAATGCCATCTTTACTATAGTGTCACGTGGATCTCAGCTGCTTCACTAGGAGTTTTTCTGTTTTGACAATTAAGATGAGAATAATTAAGAGAAAGAAACATTTTAATTTTCTGTGTCTCAATCAGCTGTAGTTCAGTGCACTAAGAGTTAGTCAGAGTGTGAGTTAATGGATTTAAATGACCTAATTAGCCAAAAACTAACACTACAAATGAACAAAAGAATACAAATTACAAAGACACTTAACTTTTAATTACTTATTAATAATTTCTAGATTGTATTTAACAGTCTACACTTTCATGAAACATTGCAGTTGTTTGTGTTTCACAGTTTTGACCAGCATGTGTCAGCGTCAATTATTCAAGCGCTTTGAAACAGTGAATAACTTTGCAAAGCTCCGTTTCTCCATTAACACTTGCCGAGTGGCGATTCAAAATAGGGAGCCAAATGAAACATTTTGTTAAGCTTTACTCGTATAAAAAAATAACGTTCATTAATGTTCAAGCATGTTTGATTTAATATTACGTAATTCATTTCTCTGTACAACGGTCTAAACGGTTTATATCAGTTTAAACAATTAAATAAAAAAACAAACCTTTCTTCATTTGAGTCACAGACGCAGGGACGAGAGCCGGTGCAGCCTTATGACGTCATGTCATCATATCAAAATAAAAGTTTTCCACACACTAAAATCATAGGAATTGAACACTTAGAAAACAATATATTCAAATTATGTTTCACAGATTCCCAAAGTAACCAATACCACTGAGTTTTTTTTCTTTTTCTTTTCTTTTTTTTTCCATTTTTTTCAATTAACTTAATGGTCTTCATATTAGATTGGATTAGAAAGAACTTTGAATATTTCAAACTCATTAAGAATTTGTAGATCAAAATTGTATTTATTGTAGCAAGTAGTGATGGCCGGTTCGTGAACGAATCGTTCTTTTGAACCGGTTCTTTTTAGTGAACCGGTCGAACCAGTACACTAAATCGGACTGAATCGTTCGAAACAGTTCGCGTCTTGCGTCAGCGCTAAACCACAAGTTACTAAAGTTACTCACTTTCAGACATGCCTGACAGTCCCTCCGAATCGAAATAAACCAATATCCATTAGTACATTTTATTCAGTAACTCAAAAACTTCACTGAACGGAGACATATATTGGTGCCGAGAGAAGTGATGAGCACGAGCAGCTGATACTGCGCATGCGTGTACTACCGAACATACAGGTACAGCGGTCGGATAACCAGTACAGAACCGAGAACTGTTTCTTTCGGACACGTTCGACATACTGAGAACTGATGAGTTGATGAGCTGAGCATGCGTGCATTTTTTTCTGAGGGACGAAATGTACGTTTCCATGTCTTTAGTTGAACATCAGTAAGTGTAACAAAATAAAACATTTTTGAAACATGTTTATCCCATTACTGTATCACTGTATTATTTTAACGATTGGAAATAATGATTGGATTCTAAAACTGTCAAACTACTAAACATTTATTATTAAATAATATTTTCAGGAACAGCTAGCTCATTTAATTTGTAAGTAACAATATAAATCATTGATGTAAACTCTTGCCAAGGTTTGGTGCACTGCTTACCCAGATAGCAAACTGACATTGAATCAACGTGGAAATATGACATCGAAACAACGTTGATCTGACATTGTTTTGCTCATCGAATTAACGTTGAACCAACGTCAGATGCGTCATTCTTTCAAAACTAACGGAAAATCAACGTGAAATCAACGCGTTGTTTCAACGTTATGAAAGCAAACCAATTTTCGATTTCATTTAGCTTTGAAGAATGCCGCGTCTGACGTTGGTTCAACATTAATTCGATGAGCAAATCAACGTTGTTTCAATGTCATGAGAGACGTCGTTTCCACGTTGATTCAATGTCAGTTTGCTGTCTGGGTAGTAAATGTTTATAATGTGGTTTATAATGTGTTAACATAACGAATTAAACATATATGTTTAATTCGTTATGTTAACACATTATAAACATGATATACACTGTATAGGCTACAGAAGGCTATATTGGAGACAGACATGCATCGATTTAGTTTTGTCGACTGTGTATTCAGGTTTCAGGTCAGCACACACAGGCCTATGCTATGGTTCTCGAGTCGAGAACTGGTTGTTGCAGTTCTTGAATCACTAGTACAGAACCAAGAACTGTTTCTTTCGGACACGTTCGATACGGAGAACCGATGAGCTGGAGATACTGCGCATGCGTGATAGCACCGTCTCTGAACAGAACTTTCTTTCGGCCGGCTGATCCTGTGCTGATATACGAGCACGCAGTAGTACGGGTGAACCCAGGACTTAAATGAGAGGGCGAATCGGCGAAATGTAAGTTTATTTAATAACAAATAAAATGATGAAGACCATTTATGCATTTTATATATTTAAAACATGTAAAACATCCGCGTTAGCACATCGCCTAGGCTGCAGCAGGGTTCGTTTTCAAAATGTAAACGTAAGAAACTTTTCCAAGATGATTATGACAATGCATACTATTATTTAACTGAAGTTGTGATTACAAATGCCCTTTAATTTGAAGTATTTTTATCCGCCGGGATGATAGAATTGACGTCATTACGTGATGACGTAAAAGAACTGGTGAACCGGTTTTTTGAACCGGTTCATTAAAACGAACTGTCCGAAAGAACCGGTTCGCGGAAAAGAACCGGACTTCCCATCACTAGTAGCAAGCAGACTTATAATATAAGCAAGCTTATAATAATTATGACTAAATTATTTGAATTTTAATTGTGTCAATTTAAATTATTGACAAGTGTAATCGAAGATAACTTAATATTATGTGAAATCTTTAATAGATCTGAATTTGAATATTGAACATTTAAAATTTAACAAATTTACATTTATTCATTAGCAGACACTTTTATCCAAAGCGACTTACAAATGAGAAATAGAAGCAGTTAAACTAACAGTAGGACAACAAACGTAATTGCTAAGACCCCATCATGGGTCAATTTAACACAGTTTTATTTTTATTTTTATTCTTTAAGAGAGTAGAAAAAAGAAAAGAGATTGACATGATATGTTCCAAATCATTTCCCTTTAACTTCCATAGCAAAGTGCGTTCTCCCCGCGCAGTCCAGTGCGTCCCGTAGCTTTTCCACATATATTTTGAGAATAAAAAAATAGGCCTAAGAAGTAGGCTAACGATAGTGTCCGGGAGATGCGAGGTACATTCATATTTATGAAATAAACACAATAATAGAGGCTAGGCTATTATAAGTGTAATATTTCTCTTACATGTGAAGTAAGCAATAAATGAACTTGTCGACACCAAAATAAATTTCCAAGGACCCCCTAATAATAACAGTGATTAAGCTCCAAATGAATGAGTCGGGGGAATGAACGCAATGTTTTTTTGGTTATTTGCACAAATGGTCTCCACTCTATGCATTTTGTAGTAATACAAATTGACCGTATTTGTCAGAAAATAAGTCATTTTTGAGTCATATCGTTTTAAAAAACACATTTTATTATTAGCCTAATCAGAAAAAGAATAAAATACAACCCTAACCCAAACACTATTAACATGTAGGCTTTGCGTATTTTACTTCCCCTTATTGTATGACAAATCTGTAAATTAATGGTATTTAGAAAACAATAAGTAGCCATGTAGGCTATAATAAAATATATAGCAGCCTATAAAAAATAGCCTATGTGCCCTTTATTACAAACAACATTTAGCCTATTTTAAACACCAAGCCTAAACTAATTTATGTGAATCTTACAAATCTTTTTGCAAAATAAAGGAATATTGTCCACTGAATAAAGTGAATATTTTATAAGTGTATTCAAATCATTTCCATAGAAATGCTAAGCAGGAAAAAACTGTATTGATAATAATAATTAAAAAAAAAAAATCCTGAGCATCAAATGATCATATTAGAATGATTTCGGAAGGATCTTGTTACACCGAAGTTTGGACTAATTATGCTGAATATTCTGCTTTGATCAAATTTGACCATAAATCAAACCAGTAAACAATTATTTCAAATTGTAATAATGTTTTGCAATATAAAAGTTTTTTTTACTGTATTTTTGATCAAATAAATGTAGCCTTGGTGAGCAGAAGAGACTTCTATCCAAAACATAATACTTTTTTAAATAAAAAAACTATACTGTATGATAAACTGTTATTTTTTATTTGATTTGATTTCATCACATTTGTGACTATTTGCATTTCAGCAAATTTTGAACGGTCATATACATGCACTCTGGTAACTTTTGCGTGTAGACAGGACTTTTATTTTGGTCTGACGATGTGACGTCATAAGCGTGCGCCGCTGTCCTGCATCTGTTGTTATTCGGCTGATGAAAGGTTTGTGTTTTAAAACAATTTAGTTGAAACATATTGAGGAAATGGATAAAAATGCAGGAGTATTTATTATAAATGCAATGAGGGCAATAGCTGGAAAAGAATGGAGAGCAGAAAGAGAATCAATGTTAACCATATATACCAAGCATTGAGAAGTTCGATTATTGTTCATGGATGCATGATTTATAGCATCAAAAACATCATTAAGGAGTCTAGATAGGATACAGTATAGAGCTCGTAGAATATGGTTAGCAGCAACTAAAACAATATCAGTCAATGCACTATAAGTATATGAAATCCCAGTTTGAGGAGGGTTAAATTTGTCTTTCTATCTTTAAAGAGTTATACTGGAAACCATATAGCTAAAGTTGTTTTAAGTAATTGCTGGGTATACTTAAATAAAATGGAGTGTATATGGATGAAACAAACAAATTAGCAGAGAAATATCAGATTGAAAACATAGATTATAGTGTGTCTGGTGAGAGGTCCCAACATGGATAATTCCAGGTGTTACAGTTGTTGATTTAGAGATGTTAGATAAGAAAAGGGAATGTGAGGAAATGTAAATAAGCACATAATACTGATGGATCTAAAGACTGAAAAACAGGGTTTACTGGAGTAGAAATATTCCAGATTATAAAATATCATTAATAAAAGATTGGATAGAATCTACTCATTCTTCTACAGAAGATTTGATGTGTGAAATATTTACATTATTATGGCGTATAGAAAGATAAGGAGTTGTATTCTGCTGGGTGCCAAGCAGCACATGTAGGAATAGATGGTAATGGATCTGCTAATTGATTAGCAAAAATACTTTTAAAAAAGTAGTTGGTTTTAATGTTCATTTAAGTAAAGGTGAAATTAAAACTATTATTAAGGAGAATATTAGTAAAGAATAGCAGGATGAGAATTTATTTTATTTACTAGGGAATTGTTCTGGAGGAGCTGAACACACATTAAGATGGAATAGGATGGAGCATTGAGTAATTATAAAAGGAGGAATATATGAATGGGTATATGAAAAAAAAGACAGACCGAATGTTAGTAAATCATTACTGCACAATAGCAAAAGTAGGTGGCGATCTTCATACGTACATAGGATGCACAACGCCAAGATTCAACCAATTCGTCTAATCAACTGTATAATTCTTACAAGGATAGAAATCTGATTGCTGAGGAGAAACCTCCTCCTGGAGTTAGTTTAAATGATCGTTATTTTTGTCAGTAAAGGGCATCCTATGACAAGGACAGAAAAGGTGCGTCTCATTCAGCCCTCTATAGTGAATTGGTTTATTGTAAATTATCGTTCAGTGCGCTGAATTGAGACGCACCCAGAGACTTAGCTTAGGGTTTTTAAGCTAAACATAATGATATGTTACTCTAAACACACAGAAAAACTCCTGGTGAAGCAAGATCCATGTGACACTATTATAAAGATGGCGCTTATTAAAGAGGAGACTGAAGACGTGAAGATTGAAGAAACATTCAGAGTGAAAGAAGAAGATACTGAGGAACAAACAGGTTGGTTTCATTCTTAAAGCTGAGCTCAGTCATTTTATACCATTTAATATACCATTAAATCTCTTTTCGGGAAAATACCTTGCAGGAAACTAAACATGTTGTACATGCATGTCGGCAACTGAGTATTTTTGAAAATTAAAAACACAGCAGTAACACAGTTGACCATACAGAAACATAGTTGACAAAGGTAACGCAATTGAAAGTAGAGAAATGAGCAGTAAACAGTAGATCATAGCTTATACTTTAACATCATTTTTTTTATTTGTTATTGAACAAGTTCTTGAATGAAAAAATGTCTGTGTTTAATGTTCATTGATAAGTTTTGAGAAAAAAAAATAGATAAAACATTTTAACTTCCACGCGATTTAACACCAAGATGGCTCATATTTGATTTCTGTTTGTGTGAGAGTGGGAAAGGAGAGAAAGAGTTGTGATGCTGAGAACTCCTGCTTATTTGAACACAACGTAAGCCTTGTTCACACTACATGATTTGAAAACGTCGGGCTGAACTGTGCGGTTCACACTACATGACTTGCTCTCAGTGAAATCAGGAGTGTTCAAGTTGTTTAGCTGTTCACACCACACGACTCAACGTGATTGGTCCACAACAGGAGGTAACTCACTACACGAGTTGACAACGCACTGCATAGAGATACAACCACGATCGGATGATAATAAATCATTATAAATTATTTTCAGGATTTAGACCGTAACATAGTAGCTGTTTCAGTACTATGTTACGGTCTAAATCCTGAAAATAATCAAATAAATAACGAGTTGACAACAACTCTGTCACCCAACTATCTTGTCTACAAACCACGTTTTGTCATGAAAAAACACGCAATAAATAAATAAATATTGCGCCAATACCCAGCGAAGAAGAGAACACAACACGTGAATATTGACGTCAGACAGAAACTTGTGCTGCACACTGTTTGCGTGACGATCTGCTCTAAGAAAAAAATGCAAAAAACCCCCAAAAACTAAGATTTACCTGGTGTCCTCAACCCATGCGTTGCTATGATTGGCTGCACTCATGACATCACTCTGTTTGAGTCGCGCGACGGCTCTGGATATCTAGCAGGCTAGATATTTTTCTGGGCTCGGCGACGCGTTGTTGGCTGTAACAGATTGGCAAGCGTTCATCGTCCGCTAATCCCCCAAGATTTGCACGCGATAACACCCTGACCTGTCGGCGAACTCAACGAGTTGCAAATCGGGCATAAATCGGGCTTAAATTCCTGTAGTGTGAACTTAGTTAGCTGTAATGTCACTTGCTTTGGGGAAGAAATTAACCCAAGAACATCCTCGAACAAGTACCCCAGCACATCTTACATGTGTTTCACTGACTTCAAGGACAATATCTTCGCCATACTTGAAAACCACAATTGACCGATTGTCCTCCAGTGTTGGGCAAGTTACTTTTAAAAAGTAATTAGTTACTAGTTACTTCTTCCAAAAAGTAACTAAATTAGTTACTCGGTTACAAATTTTAAAAGTAACTTACTTTCAAGAAAAATTCAATTTTAAATGCTCAAATGTGACCCCACCTACCCCTCTTTAACGGAACTTAAAATACATGTGCATGTTCAATAATTTATGATAATTATGAATATTATAATGAAATGGAAACTTAATACAATACATTATTAACAGAAACATGAAACATTGTACAAAAAAATGTTGCTATGGGACAAAGTAAAACTAGCCTCCAATCAAATGTCGTGCAGATATAATTTATGTTTATAGTGGATCAATGCAAATAACACAATAGATGTTTTGGAACTTTTGATATTTATTTCCCCTCAACAGGCCACAACTTGTCAAAATTAAATTAAGCTTGTTAAACAATATACCATTTAGAGAAGGCTACTTTTGGATTATTTGGGCTCGTCGCCATACCTACTGACTGACTGGCTTGTGTTGTTCCTCAATAATAATATATTTATTTTTAGAGCGCTTTCCATCAAAGTGCTTTACAACAGGATTAAAATGCAAACAATACAGTAAGAAGTAATGCCTCTATACAAAAACATCAAAAATCACTGAACATTCAGGACTCATAAACAGCAATGAATAAGTAAGTCTTAAGCTTAGATTTAAAAACATCAGTTGAACTTGCCAGCCTAATATCTGCTGGAAGACTGTTCAACAATGTTGGAGCACGAAACGAAAAACTCGCTCACCAACCGTTTTCTTCCTAACCTTTGGTACAGTCAGAAGTCCTGTCCCTTGAGAGCACAGCAACTGCGTGACATATACAAAGGTGCAAGGCCATTCACTATTTTGTATGTTGGCAACGAAACCTTGAAATCTGCTCTAACCTGAACAGGGAGATAATTTCGTTTCTTTACTTGAAGATGATTGTGTGTTAAGCGTCTGTGACTTACTTTCACTTTTATTTGCGATGTTTGCACGTTGGCTCGATGAATAGACGCTCAGCTGCTCATCTGCGGTGATGAGTGATGCGTGTCGCAGTAGCGCCGTCATATCTGATGACTATAACATGACGTATATTGCCTATATAACAAGCTTTCACTCGTTTATTTTTTTGCATTTTTGGGAGGAGTAAAATATACATATGTGGTTTCAACAACCAGATTGCGTTTACACCTAGTAAAGATCCGGACACAATGCGAGCCAGACTACCTCCAGATGTGGTCAGGCAGATCCGATCACAACGCATTTACACCTTGCATTAACATGCGTTTTTTATTATCCGTATAACTTATCTGGATACAGATCGCATTTTAATACCAGGTGTAAATGGGGTCTAATGGTTTGATGCGTTTTTTAGAAATGCATAATTTGCGAAAAGGAAAAAAACAACATTACTAGCATAATTTAATGGGGCATTTTGGGGGCCCGTAGGTAGCTCGGGGCCCAAGGCAATTGCCGACCTTTGCTTACTGGTTAAGTCCGCCGCTGCAGGGAGCCAATGCAGTGAGGCCAGCACAGGAGTTATGTGCGTGTATTTAGATGATCCAGTCAGAATACGATTTGGAGCATTTTGGACCATCTGCAGACCTCGCAAACTTTTCTTAGGCAGCCCCGAGAACAGTACATTACAATAACCAAGCCTAGATGTAACAAAGGCATGAATAAGGACCTCAGCATCTTTCAGTGATAATATTGATCTAATCTTTGCAATTTTTCGGAGATGAAAAAAGGCTACTTTAGTGACCTCTTTAATATGCAAATCAAATGACAGTGACCTAGTACCCCAAGATTCTTTACTCTATCCTTGCACTGAATGACCGAATCGTCAATGGGTAGAGTAAAATTGTCATACAAGTGTCCTAATCTAGTTTATTCAATAGCTATCATTTTGCTGAATTGAGTAACAGGAAGTTAGCTTTGTGTCCTATCCGACTATGCGTTATGATGGGTAGTTCGCAATTCATGAGCGTTAGCCATTCGTGATGATGGATCGACTCGTTCGCGAATGAGCGTTTCATGGTTCATTTGCGAATGAGCCGACTCTATTTTTACAAATTTAGCCTATAAAAATTAAATAATTATGTAATAAAAATGTAAATATTATAGTCAAAGTCATTTAAAGAACCGTTTGTAAGCCAAAAGAGCCGGCTCTTTTCAGTGAGCTGAGTCAAAAGAGCCCAATGCCCATCACTACTATGCATGCTTTCGAACACCCGCCCAACTCTACCTCTCATTGGCTTACAATGACATTTTACTCTACCTCAGCCAATCGTCATTTATGCGCTTGTCTCATGCTCTGCCCACTAACCAAGGAAGAACAGTAAAAAAAGTATTTGCCTCTTGATCAGAGATCTAGTTAGTCTGATGGGAAAAAACCCCTCAGCATCATCCGTTATAGTAACGCGCCACATTTTTGGGCAGTAACGGTAACGGCGTTATTAAGATGAGAAGAGTAATCAATTAGATCACTCGTTACTGGAAAAAGTAATGCCGTTAGTTCCATCACTATTGTCCTCCCACTGAATTTGGGAATGTAATTGAGCTTCACAAATGGCAGAATTCACCTAAAAGCTGAATATGTGGGTGTTGTTGCATTGACATTGAAAAATCAGAATGGTTGAACACTGACCCCTTGAATCATAGGATCATGCTTTCCTTGTGAAGTTGTGGTGACTTGATGGATCCTCATCGTTGAAGGCAATGCAGGAAGTCTTTGTGGCATTCCCTTGATGTTCTTGTGCAGTTCTGTAGCTCCACTGCTCCACTTTAATAATACGTAGGTTAAAGAGGTGTTCAGCAGTTGGAATGTCCTTCCCTTCATATATCAGTCTGTCTGCTGTTGTTTTAGGAGGCCACCTTCCCTCAACCCATACTCTACTAAACAGAAAGAAGTTGCCTTTCTCTCTGATACTGGGTACATTGTCATCCATTTCTTCAGCGACTGGCGACACAGATGGATGGGATTCTTTTAGGTTGTCAAGAACTGGGGAGAGGTGTGCCCATATTGCAGGTGGTCCCTTTCCTGTGCTTCAATGTAGAGGACCAGGGCTCTACGCCTGCATTTATTTTTAGTAGCAGTCAAAAATGTAGGCGCACCTTCTGATCAATGACTGAAATTAACCTTCGCATTATGAGGCAATATTTATACTCTTTAAAATGACTTTTCGGGGGATTTTTTTTTCATCTTATTGTCAAATTTAAAACATTTTTTTCATATTTATAAACTGAGTTAGAATAATAATAATATGTTGCCAATCATTATCAGCAAAATTGATCTTTGCACTGCAGAGGTGGCATAGAAGAGCAAGAAGGTGGCATTTATATTTACAGACTGTTTAATGAGGCTCAGAAGTGGCATGAATGTATTTAAAGTCCGAATTTATTTGGCAAATGTGTTTCCATCTTACATTATTCGTATTAAAAACCCTTGAGCTTTGCAGTAGAGCTTTTATTTTGGCGGAAAACACTGGATCATGAGCTGAGGGCACACTTCGCTTTGAAATGTGCAGCACAAACAGACTTATAGTCACCCTTTTGTTATTTGATTAGATGATAAAACCATATTGCTGATAAAAAAAAAACACAACATTAAAGACCTTTTATTTGAGAGGTTTAAATATATTTTCGGTTCATCATGAAACTGAGGCTGGACAGATTAGATTTTGGCAGGCCGCCACAATCTAGTTAAAGGGATACTGTAGTTCACTTTGAAATTAATTTTTGATATGTTTTAGCTTACCTCAAGGGCATCCAAGATGTAGGTGTCTTTGTTTCCACAGTATTTTCAATTTTGACTTTTTTCGGTCCATTGTTGTCTATCAGTCATACACTGGAGGCTAAGGGGGTCCACCAAAAAGCATTCAGAGAAGTCAAAATTAAACATGATTTAATGACTCGTAAATGTAAGTACACATTGATGGCCTAAGACACGAAATGAGCGGTTTGTGTGAGAAAACTAACAGTATTTATATCGTTTTTACCTCGTGTAATCACAGTGACGTCCAAGTGATCTGAATCAGTTGTGCAATGTCCAACTGAACCGAACTGAATCAGTTCAATGTTACGCCGGAAGTGATCGCTTGCGTGTGACGTCACTCAATATTTACACAGAGATTTCGGAAGTTTTACCTTTTACTAAACATATTTAGATATACCGAAATCATCTTACAATGCGGTTTCCCGTATATCTAAATATGTTTAGTGAAAGGTAAAACTTCCGAAATCTCTGTATAAACAAAGAGTGATGTAGGCGCGCAAGCGATCACTTTCAGACCGAAGCGCCCGTGCCGTCAGATCATTTTGTCATGGCTATGATTACAAGGGGTAAAAACGATATAAATACTGTTCGTTTTCTCACACAAACCGCTCGTTTCGTGTCTTAGGCCATCAATGTGTACTTACATTTACGAGTCACTAAATCATGTTTAATTTTGACTTCTCTGTGCTGCTCTTTGGTGGACCCCCTTAGCCTCCAGTGTATGACTGATAGACAACAACGGTTTGACTGAAAAATGTCAAAATTGAAAATACTTTGGGAAAAAAAGACCCCTACATCTTGGATGCCCTTGAGGTAAGCTAAAACATATCAAAAATTAATTTCAAAGTGAAATATCCCTTTAACTTAAAGGGTTAGTTCACCCAAAAATGAAAATTAAGTCATTAATTACTCACCCCCATGCTGTACCAACCCCGTAAGACCTTCGTTCGTCTTCGGAACACAAATGAAGATATTTTTGATTAAATTTGAGAGCTGTATAACTACCACATTGGCTCCTATGGGACTGCCTCTTGACGGCCCAAAAAGTCAATGAAGAAAATGTTTAAATATCCCAAGTGACTACCGTGGCTCAACTATATGTTTATCAAGCGACGCGAATACTTTTTGTGCGAAAAAACAAACAAAAATAACGAGTTTATTCGACTATTTCTTTTCTTCCTTGTAGGCCAGAACGAGACTTCCTTAGATTTCCACGACGCATGCGCGAGAATTGCGATCTGCTTACACCAGCTTACACCACTTCAGATCGCAATTCTCGCGCATGCGTCGTGGAAATCTAAGGAAGTCTCGTTCTGGCCTACAAGGAAGAAAAGAAATAGTCGAATAAACTCGTTATTTTTGTTTGTTTTTTTGCACAAAAAGTATTCGCGTCGCTATCTTAAAATATCTTCATTTGTGTTCCGAAGGTCTTACGGGGTTGGTACAGCATGGGGGTGAGTAATTAATGACTTAATTTTCATTTTTGGGTGAACTAACCCTTTAAGGAATGGGAAACACTGAAATGTTTTGTTGTCTGTTACCTGGGTTAACTTTTATTTGTCTTTTTCTGCTGTAGACCTATTGCCACTGAAACAGGAGAGTCAAGAACTGAATGTAATGGAAGAGGAAGATCATGATTTCATAACTGGAGAAAAATCTTTTAATTTCCCACAGACTGAAAAGACTGACAGGCATGTAATTATTCACTCTGAAGAGAAGCCTTTCAAATGTAAACAGTGTGAAAGGAGTTTCCGATTCAATAAATACCTTAAGAATCACATGAGAATGCATACTAAAGTGAAGCCTTTCACATGCCATCACTGTGGAAAGGGTTTCTGTCACAAAGCAAGTTTCAAGAATCATGCAAGAGTTCACACTGGAGAGAAGCCTTACACATGCCCTCAGTGTGGAATGAATTTCTCATATAAACCAACTCTTAATGCCCACATGAAAAGTCACACGGGAGAGAGTCCTTACGTCTGCAAACTGTGTGGGAAGAGCTTCTCACAAAAAGGAAATCTTAAGTATCACATGCGAACACACACTGGGGAGAAGCCTTTCACGTGCACTCACTGTGGGAAGAGTTTCAGTCATAAAGTAAGCCTCAAGTCTCACATGAGAATTCACACTGGAGAGAAGCCTTACACCTGCACCCACTGCGAAATGAATTTTACATATAGAGAATCCCTTGATATCCACATGAGAGGTCACACCGGAGAGAACCCTTACATCTGCAAACAGTGTGGGAAGAGCTTCTCACAAAAAGGAAATCTTAAGTATCACATGAGAATTCACACCGGAGAGAAGCCGTTCACATGTGGTCAGTGTGGAAAGAGTTTCAGACATAAAGTGACCCTTAATAAGCACATGAGGATTCACTCAAGAGAGGACTCTTTTAAATGCAATCGGTGTGGAAGTAGTTTCACAGACAGCAATCACCTTAAGAATCATGTCGTAATTCACATCGGAGAGAAGCCTTTCATGTGCGATCTCTGTGGAAAGGGTTTCACTCTTAAAGGAAACCTTAAGACTCACATGAGGATTCACACTGGAGAGAAGCCTTATGTGTGCCATCACTGTGGAAAGCGTTTCAGATTTAGAGGAAATCTTGATACTCACATGAAACTTCACACTAGAGACGGTCGTTTCACGTGTCTTCACTGTAAAAAGAGATTTGCGTGTCAAAGAGATCTGAAACATCATTTGCAAACTCATTCAGAAAAGAAACTGCAATGTGGCAAGAAGTTTAGAAAAAAGAGCATTTTCAACAATCACCTGATCATTCACTCTGGAAAAAGGCGATTTAATTGCGATAGGTGTAACAAAAAATTTGTTTTGCCATCACACTTACAAATACACCTGAAAAGTCATGCAGATGTCAGACCCTATTTGTGTTCTTTGTGTGGAAAGAGATTCAAATGGCTCAGAAGTTTAAAATGCCACCAGAAAATACGCACTTGTGTGAAATCCAGGCTACTTTCATACCACAAATGAATGTGGACAAGATGATTATCTGCTTTTTCTCTCTTTTTTTTAAAATCACATTTAACATAATAATAATAATAATAATAATAATTTGTTACATTTATATAGCGCTTTTCTGGACACTCAAAGCGCTTCACATAGAAGGGGGGGATCTCCTCAACCACCACCAATGTGCAGCATCCACCTGGATGATGCGACGGCAGCCATATTGCGCCAGAACGCTCACCACACACCAGCTTACTGGTGGAGAGGAGACAGTGATGAAGCCAATTGGTGTATATGGGGATGATTAGGAGGCCATGATGGACAGAGGCCACTGGGCAAATTTGGCCAGGATGCCGGGGTTACACCCCTGCTCTTACGAAAGACATCCTGGGATTTTTTATGACCACAGCGAGTCAGGACCTCGGTTTAACGTCTCATCCGAAGGACGGTGCTCTTTTTGACAGCATAGTGTCCCCATTACTATACTGGGGCATTAGGACCCACACAGACCACAGGGTGAGCACCCCCTGCTGGCCACACTAACACCTCTACCAGCAGCAACCTGGCTTTCTCAGAAGGTCTCCCATCCAGGTACTAACCAGGCTCAGCCCTGCTTAGCTTTAATGGGCAACCAGTCTTGGGCTACAGGGTGATATGGCTGCTGGCTGAATATGAACATATGAACATAAATATGTACATTGAATCGCAGAGTGTAGGAAACAGATAAACAAAACTTTTATAATTTAAAAAATTTATTGGATTCATTTGTATTGATATTTTGTGCAAGTGAGCATAACTAATGTCAATAAAACTTGACAACATGAACATTGCACTGTTATTTGATTTTAGTGAATAAATGCACAGGTAAACATGGTCAATTTGGACTTGAATATGGCTACTATCTGACAGAATGTGTAAGCTGATTCCAGCTGTCTGTCACAGCTGATCCTGTCTGAAACTGTGATTTGACAGCAACAGTTTTCTAAACATTTACAAGTCCTGTGTTAAAGGAGTAGTTCACTTTTAAACTTTTGCTGATAATTTACTCACCCCCATGTCATCCAAGATGTCCATGTCATTCTTTCTTCAGTCGAAAAGAAATTAAGGTTTTTGATGAAAAGATTCCAGGATTTTCTCCATATAATGGACTTCATTGGGAACCAAACGGTTCAAGGTCCAAAATGAGAGTTTCAGTGCAGATTCAAAGGGCTTTAAACGACATCAGACGATGAATAAGGGTCTTATCAAGGACCCTTTGAGTCATGACTCGAAAAAAGATTTGATTGAACGAGTTTGATGAACGAGTTTGAACAGGAAAGGCACGAACACTCATCACAGAACAGAGCAAGGCGAGCATTTGTGCTTATAAAACTTAAACTTTTTTTTTTTTTTTAAATGAACGATCGTTTGATTGATAAGACCCTTATTCATCGTCTGGAGTCGATTAAAGACCTTTGAAGCTGCACTGAAACTCTCATTTGGACCTTGAATCGTTTAGTTCCCATTGAAGTCCAGAAATCAAATTTTTGGGAGTTATCCTAGATTTTCTTTAGTTCTGAGGAGTTCTTTAAAACTTGAGTCTGTAAGCCCCTAAAAGGCCAGAAGAAGGGATGTGTTAAATCTCCATCTCTATGGTGGATGTGGCTGGTGTTCCCCAGGAAACATACAAGAATCCAGTTCATGACCCCTTTAATGGATATAAGCGAATGTTTACATGAAGGCTTTTATATATATATTTTTTTCTTTCATTGCATGTCTTCTCTCTTAGATGAGCCAAGGAGTGATTTTGGAATCTCTGTACAATTTTTAATTGTATGTGTAGTTTATTCACCTCAAGCGACGCACGGCTGCTGGCTTGCCTGTTCAGTTTGAGAACAGGGTACAGTACTTTTCAGCATTTCACTATTACTCGGGCATGAAAGTGGTTGTTTATGCCTTTTACTTCTCTTCCTTTGCTCTTCACAAGTTCTTTTTGTTTGTAATGTTTAAATTTTGCGATTATGGGACACGGTCTCTTTCAGATGTTTACCAAGGCGGTGCACATGGTGGAAAGTGATCTTGTTTACTGTATCAGCTGGTACTTTCAGTTCATGGTATATGAAGTGTTTGATTGTGGATTCTGGATTGTCGGGGATACCTGAAAGTATAAGATTATCTCTCATACTTCTTGATTGAATGTCCAGAATCGTTTTTTTTTTAATTATCTGTATGTTTTCCTTTTTCATTATTTCAATTTGTGAGAAAAGTGATTGAATCGAGGTCTGAAGTTCTTTATTGTCTATGGAGATCGTTGATTTGTAAAAGTCAACACGTTAGGTCAACAACAACAACAATAATATAAAGAACAAGAAAATGTGCTTAGCAAAGCAACAGATAAGTGTTCTTTATGCTCTCTCCTAGGTAGGCCTGAAGTTCAGTGGTCCCCCGAGGACTCCAGCCAGAACTCAGCTTCTTCTATTACATCTGCCTTGTCTGAGAAGCCCTTGGTGTCTGAATAAAAAAGTATAATCATAAATAGAAAAAAAACAAACAAACAGGTTAGCACTCATGACAAGCCCAAATTATATAAATATTTATAAATGAGATATTACGCCTTTTGAAAGGAAAATGTAAACATACCAGTAATTTTCAATCGAAGTACACTCAAAAAATATTTAGGCCTAATAAATAAGATTTATGTAATTCAATTGCTTATAAATTTTCCATCCATTTGGATTAGGTATTTTTAATGTAAGCATATTAATAAACTTAATGTGATATATATTTGTAAGTGCTATATAAGTGAAACAAGTAAGAATTAGATTTATGCATATTTTTCAATAAATCCAATTCATTTTAAATGAATAAGTATTATTATGTAATGCATCACATTTAAGTAATTTGTATAAATAAACCCAATTTATTTAAAATATATATTTATTAATTTTTATTTACTTATTCATCACCATTTCCCCTCCCCAATATACAACAACAACAAAAAAGAATGGCCAGACTACTTCATTTCACGTTTTTATTTTAGAAATAACAAGCTCAAAAGGCAGCAAAAACAGGAGCTAGCAAAACAGCCCATGCTCACATACAATGTTGTGTGCAACCCCAACAAAAAAAAAAAAAGTACCTTCATGTTTACATGCCAATTAAGGTTAAATGCACTACTTTCTCTTTTTTGCCACAATCACCTCACTGCACTAACAAATGCAAAGGATTTTAACAGACTGCAGACATAGTACTTTTCCCAAGAACTGTGCTTAAATAACTGCAAAGTGCAAACCTTGAGTTAAGGCCTGTTCACACCGGGACGAATTTCGCGCGCGTTATTCGTCGACGTTTAACGCCTCGTGACTAAACAATGGGCGCCAATGTGAGTGTTCACACCGACGCGAAAAACGCCACGCGTAAATGCGTCATTTTTTAAAAAACGCCTCGGGTTCGTTTTTTTGGTTTGACGCGCCGCGTCAAAACCTATCCGACCAACGAGATTGGCGGGTTTGCTCACGTGTCTGGTACTTCTGAAGTTACAGTAAAACACAACTTGAGGGCGCTCAAACACAAAACGGTCTTGCCGAGCACACATACGGTGAAGAAGAGACAAGATACCTATGGGCAAGATGAATATTGAGCTGCTGGTCTCGGAGCATAAAGAGCTATAAGATAATATTTATATTAGTATTTCTGTAATAATAGTAAAGTATAGGGTGACCAACAGTCCTGTTTTCCCGGGACATGTGTAAAACGGTCACTTTGTGCTTTATAGAAATCTGAGTTTAGATGAGAACTGCGCAATGTCAGTTAGATTTTGACAAGTGAGGAGAGGAGAACCGCTCTGCCGACTCTTTGTATTCTTTCTTTTATTTTATTTTTCTATTGTGACCAGATGTTTGTGTTTTTTTTTCTCGCTCGATCCCCATACGAGGAGGACGAGTGTTTGAGTGGTTTTATTAAACGCGGGGAAATACGACAACTCTCGTCTCCCGTGCATCTGTTCATCCGACATCTGCTATGTTTTTATCTCTGGGCAACATCTCAACTTTGCGTTACACATGTCCTGTTTCCACGTCCTGTCCTGACTGTTTTTAAGTGATGAAAATGTCCTGGTTTTCAAATAAAAACTGCTGGGAAAGATCAGTTCTACAGCAAAATATAGATGGGCAAACAAGGTGGACGAGGAAGAAAAACAAGATAAAGAGAATGAAAACTAAAGATATAAATAGATTTTGTTAGTTCGTTTTTGTACGTTTGTGAGAGCTATTTTTTGTTACATTTGGAGGCATTTCTTTTAGTTATTTATTATTTATATATTTATTTTTCTAATACAGAAGACATTATTTATATCATTATTTCATTTGGTTTTTTTTCTATCTGTCATAATAAAACATTGAGACATGAATATGATCACCCTAGTATAGTTTTCTATTATTATTTCTGTTTTACATTAAGCGCCATCTAATGTCAAGGAATGAATTTGCATGTTCACTCGGCTCATCGTCAGCGAAAAACGCTTGGGTGTGAACACAAAAAACGCGTTGAAAAACGCTGACGAATAACGCGCGCTGATATTCGTCCCGGTGTGTACGGGCCTTTAGACAAAAAACTGCTCAAATCCGATTCAATGACAACACTTGTTAATATTACGCAAACATTGACAAATCTGTGACATGCAATAATTTTGAAAAATAGGGTGGTGGTCACCAGAAAATTGAATTACTCAGTGGTTGAGTGGTTTCGTACCACTACACTTTTTTTTACGCATGTCTACAAGTTAGGATTACAGGAGTATAAAAGGTTCTTCAGCAAAACAATAAGATACATTTCCTCAAAAACTGCTTAAAAATGGTAAAACTTGAGGTGGACATAAAATTTAGCTAAAATCTGATTCAAGGACAACACTTGCTTGTATTATGCTAACATTTTCACATTGTGTGACGTGCAATAATTTGGAACAATAGGGTGGTGGCAACCAGAAAATGCCATAACACTCACTTTTTACCCATGTTAGGAGTACAGTGTATAAGGTTCAACAGCAAAAAAGAAAAAAAAAACAAGAGGAAAAAGTGAACAGGACAACTCAAGTCTTGACAACAAGTCAAGAGGAGCAATGTAATTATCACCATATCTGTCAATTAATCACTGAAGCATCTTAATTTTCAGTCCCTGAACTTTTAGAGACAGCTTAGTTGTATCCAGTTCCATCAGGATTTTCAAATGTGCACTTGAGGTACTTTGGATAGTTTAAGTCAAGGGCATAAATTAGTCCAAAAAGCATCATGCTTGGCAGGTTTTGCAGAACTTCAACACCTTCAAGAGCAACACCAACATCTGAAGGTTCTTCTTCAGGACCAGCGCCCTCCGCTCGAATGACATAGATGCCCATTGTTGTCTGTGCAATGAGAGACTCAGCATCTACACTTTCAGAGTCCTGGGGGATAAACAAAGAACATAAGTCCCAACGTGTTCCAAGTTTTCCCCTTTTGTTTTGCAGCAGGCAGTTACTTACCTGTTGATTCAGTCATGTAATAGAAATTATAATTTTACCGTGTTCCCGTTTTGCCATAAATTTCCCCATCTACACCAAATCTGAAATCAGCAATAATGATCTCTCATGTTTCTGATTTCATATTTTCCTTACTTCATACTACCAACTGGATCTTTTTATCCAGGTCATTTCTAGTTAAAAACATTCTCATTTGTCTTATATGATCAATCATGCTCTGCACACAAGCTAGACTGTGATGCCAATGAGAAAATAAACATAACTATCAATGTAAATATGCATAAGAAATATATAACATGAAGAGAAAAGATTGGCACCCACACTTACCAC